ATCTTCTTGATCTCATTCGTAAGATTGATATATCTTCTCTATTTCTATATTATTCAAAATATTCTTGATCTCATATATAATATTAAAATATCTATTCTATCAAAAATAATATCGAATAGAAATTTTATATATCCTATGAGACGTAATTCTATTGAAATCAATTATATATGAGCTAACATCTATATATAGCTCGTAATATAAATAAATGAATCAAAATTAATTTCTTCTTTTTTCTAAATTATAAGATTTCTTCTTCTATTTCATGAGACCAGAACAAAATCAGAATCTTCGATTTAAAATCCGAATAATTATTATTCGACATAAATTATACAATCATGTATCTAAATACATCTGCCGGCACATAGGTATCAATTAAAATAAAAATTCAAGAACAAAATTTAAATCATTTATCCTCTATCTTATTTCTTCTCATAAATTATTTGCTACCCTTCTACAAAAAGATTTAAAATTAGGTAAGATAGAAATATTCAATTATATTTTTTTAATCTTTTATCTTAAATTAATATATGTTCTTTCAATTCAATATAAAATAAAATCAAGTTTATCTATATCTCATATAACCTATCATCTTTATATGTATTTATAAATTTTCATATTAATTATACTTATTCTAATTTTTTTCAAAAAAAATCTCTTTTAATAATTATTATTAAAAAACGAAAATCGGCTTATAAATTTATATTTGAATTCAATTAATCGAATATTATATATTCTATTAATTAAATATAATCTCTCTATTCGAATATCGAAATAATAAATAATCCATTCATCAAGATATCTTTGAAATATATAAAATAATAATAGATTTTATATTAGAATTCATAGAAAAAATATATATATATATAATATTAATATTACTCGTAGTAATTATCGATAGATAAAGCAGACAACTAGACAAGTGTACGGAAAAATTCACGGGCAATCGCACGGCCAGACGGACAAACGCACGCATAAAGACACGCAGAGATACAGAGACACGCACAAAGACACAGAGACCCACACAGAGACACGCACATAGAGGCCCACACAGAGACACACGCACACGCACACGCACAC